AATACATAAATGAAATAATAAAAACACGAGTACCCTGAAATTCATTTTTATTTAACCCTTTCAGTGCTATGAAACGATATATCGTTGTTTTAAAAAAAACCCTAAGGGATATAGAGAGGAAGTTTATTTAAAAAAAAAAATAGCAAAACAGCCATTGGTGACCTGCATGTTCATAGGATACACTACCAACCACTTAGCTAAAAGATTCGCCCAATCCGATGATTTCGAGGTGTATGTCCAAACCAAGGATTATGAACACCTCACTATGCCCCAGTGGTTGTAGTATATCGCTACAAACACACAGGTCACCAATTATTTTCCACACAGGACGGGATTCGAACCTGAGCAGACGAATGCCATTGGCCAAGTGACACACGCCCTAGCCTTCTCGGCTATCTGTGCTTGAGGACTGGGGAGTCAAAAACCGGTATTTAAGCTGTTGCCACCGATTGCGAACAGATGGCGCTGCAGATGGTTGTTCAATGCGTTACTAGGTAGCAGCACCAGTTAGTCACGGACTTTTTAGATGCAATCTTTTAGTTTTAGTAGTAGTAAATGTGTTCCTGAGACTTTGCTGCAAAACATTAGTTTCCCTAAAATGGCTATATTACAATAACCTTGTCCAACTAAATCAGCGTTAAATTCAATATTACATTGTAAACTATATGTCTTTTGATTTTATGAGATTTCCGTTTCAAATAATGCTATCAGAACATAAAAATTTATAGGAAAACCAGGAAAATTACAACAAAAACTAAGTTTTATTTAATGTTTACTACAAATACCGGGATCTATCTTTCTTATATATTTTCTTATTGTGTTATTATTCAAAATTACTTTAAATTAGCCTAATTAATAAAATAGTGACAACATGACAGTTAAAATTCAACAACAGGTAATGGAATTAAAAGGCAAACAAATAAAAAGTCTTACAAAATATGAATTATTGGCCTAGCACTGAAAGGGTTAAACTGATACGTATTTCGGCACTAAAGCCATGATCTCAGTATGAGTTAAAATTTACTATGAATTTAAAACATAAACATAATAGGTTATTAACTATTTTATATCTCATACTGCGATTGTGGCCTTAGTGCCAAAATACGTATCAGTTCAAATGAAAATGAATTTCAGGGTATAGTCCACTGTCAAATGTACACCGTGTGCTCCTTGATGTGGCAGGTGTGGGAGTAGTCTTAATCTCTTCATTTTACCTTAAAATACTATTTCGATGGTGGCACTCTTGAAAATGGTGCGTTTGAACGCTGAGGGTAAAAAACAAAATGGCCGCCATTTTAATGTTTAAAGTCAAATTCCATGAAAACCAGCAGTTAAAACAAAATTTTGCAACACATTATTTAAAGTCCTTTTTATTACAAATAGAATGACACTTTATTTGCGAAAATCAGATAATAAATAAAAAAGTTATTTTCCTTCTATTATTAATAGTAATTATCAAAATGGCAGTCATTTTGAAATCACAAAGTTAAATTCCTTAGAAACTAGTGACAAAAACATAATAAAAGTTACATAACTTTTTTATTTATTATCCAATTTTCACAAATAAAGTGTCGTTCGATTTGTAATAAAAAGGACCTTACATATTGTATTTCAAAATTTTGTTTTAATAGCTGGTTTTCATGAAATTTGACTTTAAAAAAATTAATGGCCGCCATTTTGAAATTCGATGAGCCTGATCAAAGATTTTTTCGGAGAATGTTTATAGTTGTAGACTTAAAGTTTATACCAAGTTTCATAAAAATATCTCTAAGAGCTTTTGAGTTATGAATTATTTTCAAAAAATAAAAAATGGCGGATTACGGCTAAACTAAGCCGAAATCAAAAAATATTGTACAACATTTTCGACTTATTTTTGAACATAGAATCTGAATCTGCATAGCCCGTTACGCCTTTAATAATCTTTTTTGTGCATATTTGAAATAGCTACATTTTGGTATCAATAATTCTTTCATAACTCTAACGGTTACTGATATAAGTAAGAAAAGAAGTTTGTGACGGCGGCCATTTTGTTTTTTACCCACAGCGTTCGAACGCACCATTTTGAAGAGTGCCACCATCGAAATTGTATTTCTCCAAGGTCAAACGAAGAGATTAAGACTACTCCCACACCTGCCTCATTAAGGAGCACACGGGAGCCTGTATATGTACATTTGACAGGGGACTAGTACTCGGGTTTTTATTATTTCATTTATGTATTGAAAAAGTAGCCCTAAAAAGTGAACAGAACCAAAAAAAAAAAAAAAAAAACAATTATTTATATATACAGTGTGTAAATTAAGTATTGAAACAAATCAGTATTTTTAAAACCGAAACAGATACAGATATTCTGTTTCTTGCAATAATTGTAAACAAAGGTTCCGCAATTTTTACATCAAAAATATTTTTTTACCCCCCTAACAGGGTAGTGGGTAGGGGTGACTAATTTTTTTCAAATAGCAACCCCTATTGAGTGACCCCTCATTTTGAAGGATTTGTCAAAAGAAACTCAATGACGCAAAAAACCAAAATAACAGACATTACAAAAATTGATCTACTGTATGGGAAAAAGCACCAATTTCACAAATAATGGAAAGAAATCTGTATTTTTTAAACCAAAATAGATAGAAATATTCTGTTTGTGGAATTGATTGTTAACATAGGTTCCGCAAATTCTTACATCAACAATATTTTTTCAACCCCTTTAACAGGGTAGGGGGTTGGGGTGACTTATTTTTTTCAATAACAACCCCTATTGAGTGACCCCTCACTTTGAAGGGTTTGTTAAATGAAAAACAATGACGCAAGTCCGAGGTAGATATTTTACCCCTAGCCTAAATGGCAGCCATTCCAAAATTTTATATTTGCAAAAAAGCACCCATTTTGGAATATCCGCCATTTTGGCTAGGGGTGAGATATTCACCTCGGAATTGCGTCATTGTGTTTCTTTTGACAAACCCTTCAAAATGAGGGGTCACTCAATATGGGTTGCTATTTTAAAAAAATAAGTCACCCTCTACCCCCTACCCTGTAAGGGGGGTTAAAAAATATTTTTGATGTAAAAAATTGCGGGACCTTTGTTAACAATTATTGCCACAAACAGAATAAATATTTCTATCTATTTCGGTTTTTAAAATACAGATTTGTTTCAATACTTAATTTACACACTGTATATATATCCGTTAGCACGATAACTCGAGCAAAAATGATCTAATTTTGATGAAATTTGGTACAAAACGTGTAAACTTACATTTATTCAAACAAGTTCGCGAACCAGCATGATGGACTATGGAAATGGGGTTTTATGGGGTAAAAATAGGTTTTTCCCATTTTTGAACCTAAAAACACAAAATTTCTCAATTTCTTTCCAAACTATTTTGTAGAGCTTAAAAAACAAATAATTTAGTATATTGAAGCATTATTATGCTAATGGTTATGGAGAAAATTCCAAAAAATTGTAAATTTAAAATTACCATGTTATTCTTATGGACAATTAGTCAACTGTTCTGGTTTGCTTGATTATGAAATTATTTTGATCAAATTTGGAAAATACATTTATTTGTTACTAAAATACAGTACCTATTAACATTTTACAACAAAACACACCTTTTTACCCTCCCTGTTGCAGCAAACCTAAGTACTCGTTAAACTAATTCTATTTAAATAGTGAATGCATGTGATATTTTTAAGGATACATTTTAGTGTAAATCCAATCAGGTAAATGGAAATTCGCTAAGTCTGCAGGTTTGCTGCGGAGGGGGTATTCTTGAAAATAATGTCATGGCAACCAGTTAACCCATAAGGCCTATGTTAAATTACTAAAAGTTTAAATTCACATAGGAAAAAGCCCTGTGGTCCGATTTGTACCATTTCAGATTCAAACCTTCCCATGGTTGGTTACTATGACTGTGCTAAATGCTAAATTCATGCAGATCGCTTCAGCCCTCCAGGAGGAGTATTTATAAAACAAAAGCAGGAGTGAAGTATATAAGAGCTTCGCTCCGCTCAAAATATGATATACTGTCAATAGTTAATAGTTATTATAATTTATTAATAGTTAATAACATTATTAATAAAGTTATTAATTAATTTATTAATTATTAATAAAGTGATTAATAAGTTATAAGTTTAATAGTTATTAATAATAACTATTAATTATTAATAGTTATTTAAAAAATGTGGTTCCTCCATACCTAATGAAGTTTTATATTTAAATATCTTTAAATAAGTGCTCTTGGTGATAACACTACAAAGCAGCTGATATCCTTGAGGACAATAATCTGTGCCCCCCAGTTAGTTTCTTGTGCCGTCTGCTGCCTGTCCGCCATGTGTTTTGTACAGTTTTTATAGCTCATGCAGTTTTGTATTTAATGTTGTGTGTGTTGTATTTTTTTTTTGTGATATAGACCAATGACCACCAATAGATATAGGTCAATGACAAATACCAATATGACTAACCCTGTAGGTACTGCGAATAGATTAGTCTGACAGAAGAGGAATAAATGCAGAAATGTTAACAGCATAACAATACTAAAGTTGTTTACATCAACGAAACTATTCTGTTAAACAATCAAAATACTGTATGTATAGGGTTTATAAAAGAATATTTATGAAACGTCCAATATTTCAGACCCCCCCCCTCCAAAAAAACCAACAAAAAAGCCTATTGTGGGTGCACATATTAAAATCTTCCCGAGCGTTTATTACCCTCGGGGCGGCCCTATTTCACTTAGTTATTATAATTAAGATGAAGAACACACCTGGGTGTAAATAAAAATAAAGGATGTGTATAGCATGGCGTTGAATTACCATTGTTTTGACCAGCTGATTTTTATCCAGTACCATACAATCAAGTGCAGTTGCATTTGGTTTTCAGTTTTCAACCATGAAAGAACTACTGAGCTACTGATTCAAGATCAACTGGTCTTCTTCATTATCGGTGTTGGGTAGATTCAAGATTCAAGCTACGTCAGATATCTGTCCACTTAAGATGTTATGCTCACCTTGGACACAGAAGCATGAGGCAGTCCCAGGGAGTTATCCCAGTCTGAATGGTTGTAGGAGCTGACCCCTAGGGACTCCTGACTGTAGGAAGGACTGTGACTGCCGTGATCCTCTCCAGACTCATACCCTGGACCTGGGAAAATTTTACACAATAATGAAACATGAAAGTTGTGTCAACATGACAAGTTGTTTAGCACGATGAAATTTGAAAGCACCTAATCATTATTTAGACTCCATCCTGATTTCGTTGCCATAATTTAAACCTAATTAATTATATTTTCTTAAAGTTAAACCCATTGACATAATATTTGAGAAAGAGATGTATGCTTTGCCTTCCTACTACTGAGTAATATTCTCTGTCTAAAATTACAAAAGACATGCAAGTTTGATTGCTATAGTTATGAAAGCTAACCTGTACAAAAGGATCTAGCCAATGCCAAATCTGATCACTACAGTGTGCCCATGGGAAAGTAGTGGTGAGAAAAAAAAGGTGCCATCATGGGTTGGTTTTATTTTTGTTTATTGGAAAATTGTTAGTAAAGTACCGGATCCTTATAAATTAATATCGAATTTTAAACAGTTTACAACTTTTATACTACTGTATTAAACTTACTGATATAAATAACACATCAAATGAAAAAGCAACTCAAAGTCAATGCCTTACAACAACACATTATTTAACAAAATGGATCCAGTAGAACTGTAAATTTAATTGTCCATGTTAAAAAGAAATCTTTTTTAACCACTATAAATTCGGAGGTTGCTTAACGTTTTTTAGCTTTTAAATGGTGAGGAAATCGACCAAAATTGAAGGTAATATTCCGAAAGAGGATAAAACTTCCTACAATTTACTAATATACATTTCTTGAAAATACTCATTAAAGGTAGCCAAAAATTGCCTCAAAATGAAAAAAATTCTAAAATTCCCGTCTTTAATGTAGACAATATACATAGCTAACAATAAATTTTATTTTTTTATTTTGAGGCAAATTTTGGATACCTACATTCATTGAGTTTTTCAAAAATTAAAAAAGGGGAAAATTCCCGTCTTCAATGTAGACAATAGACATAGCAAACAATAAATTTCATTTTTTTAGGCAAATTTTGGCTACATTTATTGAGTTTTTCAAGAAATGCATATCAGTAAATTGGAGGAAATTTTATCCTCTTTCGGAATATTACCTTCCACTTTGGTCAATTTCCTCACCATTTAAAAGTTATTTGCAAAAACCATTAAGCAACCTCCAAATGTATAGTGGTGAAAAGTGGAAGATTTCTTTTCAACTGTGTACAATTAAATCCACAGTTCTACTGGATCGATTTTGTTAATCTTTCAGAGGGTGCATTGGTTTTCAAAACGGGAGAGGGCGCACCTGGAGGTTACTTCCAGGTCAATACAAACAAACATTTAGGAAGTAAAATTTATATTTTAGTGCACAAATTAAGTTTTATTTTTAACTTTAAACATCAAAAATGTGTTTAGTGAACTCTTAATTATAAAAAACTTAATTTGATTTTATACATATAAAATTAAACTATTATTCTATCAAATGTTCTAACATAAAAGTATATGAAGAAATCTTTTACACGAATATATATTCAAGAAGTTAATTTTAATTTTCACCACAATGTGTCCTAAAATGCAGTTCTAGATGATAACACTCAAAATAAGTACCTGATGATTTAAGTAATTTAACATAATGGGTATCTTAATACTAAATGACTCTGTACATACGTCGTTCGTGAATCTCCCTTTCAGCACTGGCTAAGAGTGTTGCAATTCGAAATTTAACTTCTTCACTCATCGTTTAAAAACTATATATTTACTAAATAATGACACAAATCGTAAAAAAATTATTATTTACGATAGCCTACAATCAACGCACAAACTAAACTAGAGGTCGCACACGGAAGTTGCCTACAGGCTGTATGAGAATCGGCAGGGCGCACACGGAAGCTACTTCCAGCCTCTTACAAAACTGAACAAAACTAACAAATATATAAAATAGTAGGGGTGAGTTTTGACCTTCACTCGATTCTAGGAATGAGATGCGTGAGGTAAAGTGACACTCACACTGCCGACACCACTCAAAATAATATAATCGTGAAAAATAAAACATCCCTGGAGGTTACTTTCATGATGCGACCTCTGGAAGGTTAAATAATCTTTCGTAGGAAGGCATAAACCCTTTGAGTTGCTTTTTCATTTGATGTGTTTTTTATAGCGGTAAGTTTAATAGTATGAAAGTGATAAAGCGTTAAAACCCAAGTCAATTAATTTATAAACACCCGGTATAGTACAGTAATAGGTTTTAAGTAAATGATCCTGGCTGATAAAACAGCTGATCTTAGTCAGTTACAGCTAGACAGATCGTTTACATCAATTTACACTCATCCTTTACTCTTATTTGGATTAAAATACGCCTCTGAATGACGTCCCCATCTCATGATTGATAATTGGTAAGGTTTTTTCTCTGTTTCTGTACAAGTTGCCTATCAGTATTATGTCCATGTGTGATTTTTAAAAGTACTAAAACAACCTCAGTAAGCAGCTTGCTTCTTCATTTCTTTTTAATACAAATAAAGGAATTTCAACAATGGGTTTACAGCAATTGTTTGAGTAGACAAGTGGATATGGTGCTGGTTTCAAATCTGAAGGTGTCTCTATGGTTTTGTTCCGAGGTTTTGTACTATGCTATTTGTCATTGGGTAGTTGTTTTGTTAGTTATGAACAAGACCAGTGGTTTGGACTGTTCCCTTACCAAAAAGACTTCCAAAAATGTCAACGGTATGGAAAAACTTTTTTTTACATGAATTGAGTAGTTTAAGTAAAATTAGCACAAGTTTGAGGGTAACTGGTGTGTCATCATTACAAAAACCCTTAAAAATATCTAAACTACGTTTCAACAGCATGAGAATGCCATGACAAAAACTGCTTTTGTTTGATCCAAAGCTATAATAAAATGGAAAATATGTCATAAAACCTAAAAATACATCATTTCAATTTCACTAACATTAAAAATCTAAAAGTTTGAGATTATTCCTTTATTTTACCAGAACCAAAATATTGTAACCATACCTGGGTCAGAGCTTGATGAGTCATTGTAAGGGTTGAATATTGGCCGAAAGCCGCCACTAGAGTGAGGTAGTATTGGCCTGAAGCCGTCTTGTGGTGGTGGAGGAGGTAGTTGCTGTACTCTCCCCCTCCCTCTGTTGCTGGTGAATCTTCCTCGGCCGTCCGAGTCACGGCCAGCACCCCAGAAACTGCCTGTAACAATGTTGTGGTTCAATACATACTTTTTAATCTATTACTGTACATTAATCTCTATTTGACAGTTATAATCACATCTAGCAGTAAGATTACATATATCTAAAAGAAAACTAGCCTATGTTGGCTAAACAAGCACAAACATAGAAGCACAAAGGAAATGAAAACAGTGAAATATGAAATAAAACAAAACAATATACATAGGAAGTGATTCCCATAAGTCTTCATCGGCATGTGAGGAGAGTCTACATTATTGCTCACTACATTGCACAAAACCAAAAACAAAATATACCATAGGATTATCTGAAAATTGGATATGAACAAAGGAGAAAATCTTCTGAGTGAAAAAAATTTTAATTTTTATATTAAGTCAGTTTACAATAACTGATCAATGATCATTCACATATGCGTTATTGAGCTCTGACGATTTCTTGTATTTTCTACCAATAAATATTGTTTGTGATTTTGCTGGTTTTTATGTTTTAAATTACATTAGAGCTCTGATGATTACATTAGCTCTCTCTAAGAATTTTAATCATCTGTCAAAACTTAAAGAGACTGAGAAAAATTTACCCAATGAAGGCAGAGGCATTCCGAAGAAGGTGAAAGCAGACGACGGTTGTCTTGTGTAGACAGAAGGGTGGGGAGGAGGTGGGGTGGCAGTAGTGGATGGGGGCTTAGTCCCTGCATACAACGTGGGAGTATCTCCTGGGATGAAATGGGACAACACTCCCGGAGGAATAGTCTGGAGGCTGGACTCTGTTGTGGTAGTGAACACACCTGAAACATCCTTTTTATTTGTCACAGACATTTTGGGTGGAGATTAGTTAACTTTATAAAGCAATCTAAATCTTTTAAATAACTTTTAGGGGTATAGACAAAAATTAAGGTTTGACATAAAACCTGTCGCCTACCTCTTGCAGGGAAGTTAGTCCAACAAGCTATAAAACTCTTAATATTATTATAACAGTGGTTGTAGTAAAAACCAATCAACAGTTAAAATGTTCAATATTTTGCAATTGTTATAATATATGTATCTATAATGTTTGTTATAATATATCTAATGAATTACACGATTTAACCTAGCAAGTTTTCAAGTTGTAAGGTTAAGGTTGGACAAACTGGTAACATATTTAACTTATGTTTTTGTACTTTACAACTCCACTCCATTCCTTCTTTTTATCATCTAAAAAGCGTGTGGTCGATGTAACTTTATTATCCGATTAAATCTTGGATTTACTAACTATGATCGTTGTAGTTTTTCACTACCTTCATTGTCCAACAACAATAACGCATGCAATAAAAAATTGTCAGTGTTGCTACCCACAAGTTGATTATTGTGACAGCTTTTATGTAGATTGTTTAAAAGTTTATGTTGGACATTTTCTCTCAATTATTTGCTTAATAGAAGCTTTACAACGTTTTAGGACGTAGATCTGGAATATTAGGCATTTTAAAGAGTATTTACAATTACTCTAAACATTTGTTATTTAGGACTCAATGTTTTTCAGCCCTATATTCAGTTTATATTCTAAATCTAGATTCTTTCTCACTTGATTCAGATCCCAACAAGTTGTGAGACATTTGTTTTCTTATAAGTAATGTTCATACATATAAATATCCCAATAAATAATCGTTTTAAACTTATAAATTTTGATTAACTCATTAACTGTGGAATCCTTGAAAATCTAAATTGATTGTCAGGTTGTACCTGAATGCTGTGACATGTTGAATGGCAAAGTGGAGTTTTCTTCATATTCTACAAAATCTTCATAGAAATATTCTGACTCCTCTGGGGCTGGTCGGATGGTCGAGTCTTTACTGTCTGGGAGGCTAGATAGTTGCTGGGTTGGTCCAACACCTATAACATATAAGGTCGAGTGTGACATTTACAAATTTGTGAGAAATAAAATCTGAACCCTAATAGTTGATCGTATTTTAGCACTCTCAAGAGGAAAATAGATAATAATAATATATTATTATTAAATCTTATGAATTTGTATAAGCAAATTTAATCCATCAAAAACGCTACTATCTTGATTAGTTTTTGAAGCCTTATCAAGTAATTTTACATACTGAACAACGCTGTAAATTACCTGATGAGAAACTACTTCCAAAATCTCCTGGACGGTCGCAGCCTGGGATTGGTGGCTCGTCGTATCTCACAAAACTGCAGTCCCCCGGGCTCATCCGCATCTGAGAATGGAGAAACATAAAACTTGGCATTACATTTCACTAGGAAATCCTCTACCACTGGACTGTATAGCTCCAGAAATATCCTAGCTGCAGCTAATTTTTTATTTAAAAAGGAATATAGTTGAATGAACCACACAGAGTTTGCAGCAGCCTACAACTATTTCTACCTTGGTTATTGTTACTGAGATAGTTAACATGCCACATTTTATACTACACTGTCCCTTCAGCTTGGCTTGGTAAAAAAGTTGGAAAGTTGGACAAGAATCAGAATTTACAGCAGCGCACAAGTACTACAGGCTACAGGTGGTTCAGTTCTACTATGTTTATTAAAACTGACTACAACCTTAAAATGGGACTCAAGCACATCCATAAGGTAGCACGAAAAAAGTATACAGAGGAATCATTCAATGGTACACTTAAGTAGTGTCTATAGGTCGGCCGCTTAGAAAACGACATCCTCGTAGCATTGGTGCGAGAGAGAGATACCGAGCTGTGGGAGTGAGACAGACTATGGCTCTTCCCCCACTCCGCTGCCGCCCCACCCTACCCGAACACACGCCCCCTTAAATTGCAATTAAAATATTAACAGCAATTAAATTATACAGCTGATCAAAATGTAAACAAATACGTGGAGAGGGGGAACATACCCTCCCTTGCCGTTACCTCTCCTACATGCGCTAAAAATTTTGTGCAGGTCTCTTTCTAACCGACCGACCTATAGCACCAATCACTTGTGTCTAGTGCAAATTCTATTTGTCTGTCTATTAAACTGTTACAAGAAAAATGAGAAAATTTGTTATTGGTACCCCTACATTAGGATCTTAAACTGCTTATATTACGTTCATGAAAAGACCAGTATTTAGGTGATCTTATTTAAAATAATCCTTTACAGTTGGGTATCGCACTTAGACGGGTAGAGGTAGCCCTAAAGTTGGCCCCCAAAGAGCTTAGACTTGAATGAAACGGTGTTTTTTTTTTCTTCTAGGGTCCAAAAAGTTAAAAAAAACTCAAAATGTAGGTATTCAATTAAAAAAATATATCAGAAATAGCCTCTAGGGATGTGGATAGTGTTTGTCTTTAATAGACTAACAAGTGGATGTCTGTGTTTCAATAATTTGTGACCAAATTAAAATGTTCAACTGATTATGACAATCTTTATCAAGTAACAGAGTTTTCAAAATAAATAATTGTATTTTAAATTATTGAAACTGAAACCTACTAATAGTCTATGAAAATTCTACATTTACTTTGTATCACCACAGTCCCTCTGTAATGTTAGCTGACCTGTCGCAAGTATGATCCATCCTGACATCTCGGCTCCATGGAGAGATACGGAGCCTCCCTCATCCAAGACTGGAGCCACATCATCCCACAGGAGCATTGCAAGGGGTTACCTGCAAGAGTGTCTAAGATAATCCCATAATATTTATATGCTTACTACCCCATATAATGTGTTTGCTCGCCTTGGTGCTGATCTTAAATAGGCTGTTTTATGGTGAATTCAGATATTTTGAATTTTTGAAGACAATAGATGAAATGGTGTTTGGAAAAATGTCAAGCTGCAAAACAAACAATCCAGCAATCTAACCTTATAGCATACCCATTTCCCATTTTATAGTTCAGGATAAAACCCATTTTTTATTGTGAAGGTAACATTTTGATTTATAACAAAAATGGATCTTATTGCTTTAACATCTCAAACAATAAGAAAATCCAGAAATAAATTAGCTGATATCAAATGTTAATTAATAATCATACTCATGGTTCGAATGTTACCATACCATCAATATCGAGAGCATACATAGTGTGACGCAATGGTTTGAAAGTCTCTTCAGACAGTGATGTCATCTTGTTGTTTCGAAGACTTAAAACTCTCAGCCTTGACATCTTTTGAAACGGTGACCCGTAAATGTTGCAGAGAATGTTGTCATCCATCTGAAAATGTTTGAACTGTCAGTTTTACAAATTTTAAATTATATTTCTCCTTACGAGTGGAAGCAATACAGAAATTAAATGGTCACATTAACTGACCCCCTTTTCAGTTAAAATGTATGAAGTATATTCTCTCGTCTCTGCCTAGGCAAAAATAGGATTATCCGCCAGGAATTTTCAAAAAAATAATTTGTTTAACCAATCTTTTATATTATAAATTTATATCATTTAGAGATTTTTGTTAACTTAATTGCAATACCGGTAGTAAAATAGTTTAATTCTTATGGTATGTGTGTGTAGTAAGTGTGTGCAAGGCGTGGTACCTATAGTTTTTTCAAAGTTGATATATCCGACAAGAATTAATAATTCACCTCAGTGCAGGTGTCTCAATTAATCTAAGGATATTTTTGTGTTTAATGATCTACAACTTTGGAAGTGGACTGTCTAGCTCTACCAATAGTCTAAGGTAGAATTAAATTATTACCTTCAAGTGCACGAGGGCCTGCAGGTTAGGCAACCCGTGGCTAATCAGGTTAGACATCTTGTTGTGACTGAGATCAAGCACCTCTAGAGAGTGCAGGCCTGCCAACCCCGCACGCTCCATACCGCTCAGCTGATTATGACTCAGGTTGAGCATCAGCAGGTTGGGAACAGCTGTGAACGCGTCACTGGCTACATCAGTCAGCTGATTGTCTTGCAGTTCAGCTGACAAGAGAGACGGAAGACTGCTGAATGCAGCACTAGGCAGCACAGTCAGACGGTTGTGACCGAGACGAACTGCTGTCAAGTTAGGCATCGCCCTGTGAATCAAGAAAGTTGCAGTATTAGACAGTTTATAAATAAATAAATTAATTAAATTGTGTTATGAGAATAAGTAGATATTTCCATTGAATTTGTTATCCATGCAATAACTCAAAAATGTATCAATGTCTCCAATAAGAGGTGAGTATAGACAATGCCATGTTTATATTGTTGATTTTAGCTAGAAAACTATGTTAATAGTTCTATGTTTCTATACCTGATGGCGTGAGGGGCCATGAACTGTATCTCATTGCTCTCAATGTCCAGCATGGCTAGGGCAGGCATGTTGTTGAACACTCCTTCATTGAGAGAAGTAAGCTTGTTGTGGGCCAGGGAGAGCTCAGTCAGTGAGCTCATGGAGTGTAGCTCAGCTGCCACAGAGCTCACCCTGTTGTAGCTCATGTCCAACAGTCGAAGCTCACGTAGATGTCGCATGTCAGACGGCAGCTCACTGAAGGCGTTGTGGGATAGAATCAGCTCCTCTAGCCCTCTGGAAAATAATGAATCTAAATTTTAAGTGAATGATTACTTGTTACCTTAAGAATGGGCACATTTGGATTGTAGGGTTGTACTGAATCTAAATTGTCAGAGTAGTCTTAGGCCCCTTTTATTCACCGCGGTTGCCCGCCGCGGGCGACCGCTGCACCAATGTGTCACCTGCGATCGACCGCTATCACGTGGATAGTGTAACAGTGCTGCCACCCCAACCAACCAGTGCTGCCGAATGACTAGACCACGTGTAGTGAGAAACACTGGTGACTTGGGTTGGCAGTAATGCGAGAGCGACGGCGGGCTCCCACGTAGAATAAACGATTCCATATGACACAATGCATATACGAACCGCTACCCGCCGACGGTTTCTAAGTGCAAGCGGGTGAATTTACAAACCGCCGCGGGTACCCGCAACTTCTGAGACCGCTCCTAATTGAATAAAAGCACCCATTTACGGCAATGCATTTATAAAAGCGCAGTGGGCGCCCGCTGGCGGGCAACCGCGGTGAATAAAAGGGGCCTTATGATATCAGCTGATTTATATACTGCAAAATACAGTGGTAGAGGTGTGAGATTTTTAAAATGCTAACGCGTAAACAAAGCTAAGATGGAGCTATGAATTAAGAAATCAGAATCGGGGTGGTTGGAAACAACTTAAGATGAAGGGTAGAAAACCAAGACTAAGATAGTTTGCACATTTAAGAAGAATTCCAGAAGAGAGTATTACAAGGTAATAGGAGTTGATAGTGATAGATTGAAGAAGTCCAGGAGGAATATGAATAGAAGAAGTAAAGGTTTTGAAGATGAGAGGAGTGAGATGACAGATATTTGAGGAAGAGGTACTCTGAAGGGATTGAAGATGAAGAGGTCCAGAGTGGACACCCAGAACCAGGATAGACAGAATAGAAGAGGATATATACAGGGTATAGATGAGTTTTTTTGTATATTCTTTGGGATCAATAACTGATATATAATATGGCTCATACATCACTTAATCATATATGTTGTAGATTCAAAACCAATAAATTGATACCTTTATCATAATCATCCATTTTAAGTGTCATGTATCAATAACTTTATAAGCTGATACTACTTTCTGTAGTAAAAAAAATTAATTACTTCTGATATTTTTTGTAGCTAGTTAAAAGTTTAAAACATGCAAAATAATGTATAATGTTTATTTTTCTGACCTGTTGTCCATGAGACTGTTCTCTGGCAGACTTGACAGTTGGTTCCAGCTCAGATCTAGACGGCGCAGCGCAGTCATGTCTTTCAACAGCTGAGGTCCAACCTGGTCCAACCTGATCACAGTAAAAGAGTTTGCTGAATAAAATTCAATGATATGGCGTTCGAGTTTATAAAAAGTACCAAAGTTTAAATGCAAGTCCAAAAGCTACCAAAGCATAAAGTTTAGCCTATATTATTTTACTGCAGAGTTCATTTTGTAAACTATAAATCTATTATAGGATTATAGATGAATTGGTCACTCACCTGTTTCCTCTCAAGTCCAGTACTACCAACCGTCGCAAGTCTCTCAGGGCTGTATCATGGACTGACATGAGCCGATTGTTGTGAAGGTCCAACACCTCCAATCTGTTTAGTCCCTGAAAAATTAAAGATATACATTCCGGTACGTAATTGTTTTACTAGCCAGCGACCAAACGTAATTTGTAAAAGATTCATTTCCACAATATAGGCCCACTTGCCATAATTTGTCTCAAAATAAAGACTAAAATCAAAATATCCCCTTTCACAGAGCCCTTTTCATTACACTATTGAAGATTTCACATTTTTGCAGGGTTTGCTCATACAATAAAGACTAAGCAATTCCTTAGGAAGGGCATTAAGGACAATAATTGGCTCTATGATTCATAATCTATATGAAATCAAGTCAGAGTTCAAGAATGAGTGGAAGGAATATCAGCAGTATACGCTGAATAAAAAGAAAGGGTTAGCGCGAAATCAATAACTCTGAACCACATGTAGTAAATGTTTAGTACGTATAAGTAAAAGTACCATTGCTAAAAAAAAACCAACTGCTTGTTTGGCAGCATAATAAATTACCTTATTTAATTAAGCTACTACTAATCAACAACAGTTGTATCTAGTTTTGAAACTTTAGATTTGTTCAGATGCTTCTAAGAAATAGGGCATATGTAGGGATAACAAACTCATTAACATTATCGAGGCTAAATTAAAATATAAATACTATGTACGGTATTTACCTTGAAAGTTGTGTCCTCTAAGGATTGCAAAGCATTCTCCCCTGCTAATATCACCTTCAGCAAAGGCATTGACATGAAACCATCATTCGATAGTTTGTGAATCCCATTCCCTGAATATGAAACAATCATATATAAAGTCAAACATTTGGCAACAAGGAAAGTTTTAGTTGGTGGAATCTATGTATCTAAAGGCTATTGAAGCCAAAAATAGGAAAAGTGTATAAAATCTTTGTTTGAATTTAAACATAGTTTTTAAGACTCAGAAAAAAATATGGAATGGCCTCTGGGATCGTCTGAATTAATTATAGTGGTATAAATTACCAATGGATACTGTCCAAAACCTTTAGCTTACAAACACTACAGTTGTTTCGTGCTATGGATGGAGCACATCATCAGGTTAGAATGTCAAGATGGATTAAAATTACTCATGGTGAAGTATGTCAAAAGTTTAGTACTAAATACCGTATAGATAACATGGCACATACTTCAGCTTAAATCTTTCTCTGAACAAGAAAACAGCTATTAACAAACGCTTATATTGCAAAAGAAATGGCTGGAAACCTTCAGTAATACAATACTTATCATTATGGCATTCAATTTATATTTAGTCCGCAATCTGACACAAACTTTCTGCCTTTAGCTACATACCAAATTATTACCAGCTACATACCAAATTTCATAAAAATCGGACTATTGGTCTCTAGCTCTGTACACATCCACACATACAGCACAGACAACACACACAGATATCACTTCGAAAACCACTTTTTTGGGCTCATTGAGACCCTAAACGGATACATCCACTCAAAACTGAAACTCAAAAATTTTGACAAAACAATACTGCATATACTATGTATAGAAGGTGAAAGTAAAAATTAGGTTAGCTCCACTTTGGTAGTTAATCTACGTAATAGAGAAGCCATTGGATGGGATATTGTCTCCAAGGATGTCAGAGAAGTGGGGGCAGCAGTGGAAGAGGCGGAAGATAGAGAGAGATGGAGAGCAGTTGTTGGTGTCAAATCCCGCCTTGGGCATAAATGGCCATGAGAGTGAGTAAGTGTATTAGAGAAGCCAGCTTTACCTGAGATGTCAAGATATTTGAGTGCAGAAAGTCTGACATCAGAAGAAGGCAGAGCTGAAAGATGGTTTCTAGCGACATGTAGATACTCCAAGGTCACAGGTAGGTTTGGTACCATGCTCCGTAACCTACAATCGAAAGACAACATTTTAATAACGTTAAATTCTTATTTTTCTGCCAAGTTGAATACATTTTTTAATAGTATACTCTGAACCATACATAAAACTAGATGCCCTAAAGAAACTTTTTTACTGTAGAGGGTTGAACCATATTCCAATAATATATCCTCTTAAGTTAGCAGCAAAATAATGGTGAATTAGTAAATTGTTGTAAGTTAACTTAAACACACTAATAATCCATGAACATACTTTAGTTTCCATATTATGTCCAAGATATCTTTGTACAGTAACTTGAAAACACTTTTCAAATGTTTTGTTTGCTTTTGTAAAAGGTATTTTTTTACAAGCAAGCGGGTAGCCAAACTGTCCTGAAAGAGCGCTACATTTCTTAGTGTTAAAATCAATCATTAATTAACTATTCAACGCTCAATCCCAAGTGGACTACAGTTTACCCTTGTACAGCCTCATCTCTAGCTCTGCTGAATATGTTCCATGCACATGCACAAAGATTATGTGAACAGGCAAACACAAGATAACAAATGGTCATCATGGTAATGGAGATAAAACTCTTCAAAAAAGCTAACGAACAAAAGGTTGACATTATGCTAACAATACCGAGGTTTGGGCTGTTTCTTTACAAAAGACATAAGAAATTCCAACGGTGTAATACACACAAAATATAGAAATGAAAAATGTGTTCCTTTAATCCTAAACTAGTGGAACCCCGTCGAAATCGACGGTTAATCTTGAGGTTTTATGTAAATTCAGCTAACTGCGTTGGATAGAGTGAAGTCATTAAAATCTTAGTTATATGAAGGGAGGATAAGCAATAATAAGTATGACGATTGTGTTCCCTAAAAAACGTGATTGATGAATTCGTTTAACACAATATTTCCTACCTTTCTTTTTATCGGCTTTAGGTTGCCCAAAAGGTTTTTTAGGAGTCTTATAATTTTTTCTTCATGCGTTAGTTTCATACCAAAGCCACTTTCACTATATGGGAGAATGAGTTCATATAATTAGTCTATCATGTTACACAAAGAGTCAATATTTATTACTAACCACTAATTCCATCTGCTTTAGGAAAATCATTCAGATTGTATCCGGATTTATAAGTAAATCTTCATCTTTTTTTTTTTTAAATATATGATTCTCCAGAAAGCAGTAACATTCTTACTTCGATCTCAGCAATTTTAAATCCTTCTCTTGCCACATCGACCCATGTATTTAATCATCCTGTTCTTACTTGATAATTCATTAACTTATGGGGTAGTTTTGCCTTGGCCATATAGATCACATAAAGCTGTGCATGTATTTCGTGCATTGGAATGAACCATAATTGTAGAAAATTTTATCACAAATCTTGAACATTTGCGGAACCAAATCCATAACCTAGTCCAGCATTGGTAACAAATTATGCAAATGCAGATGTTTTGTATGCAGTGAGGTTTAGATGCGTTGTTCAACCTAGCTACATGTGTACATCAAAGTAAAAACAGTGTACACATTTTTTTTTTAAATACCTGAATTGACATTAGTTCACCTACTTTACCAAAACCATAGACTCCGTAGTTAGTCTATTCCAAAACTTGAACACAGCTCTCATCCTCAACGTACTCATCTATGACACAATTTTCAACCCGATTATCAAAAACTGTTATACCAATAAATGAATCTCAGGTGTTCTTTCTTGAATTTAAAAATAAATGGTGATTGAAAGTAGGAAAAAAGGCAAGTGCCAACCTTACAATATAAGCTAATTCAAGTCACACTTATTTCATAATTTTTTATTTCTAAGAGCAATAAAGCATAGATTTTTTTACAAAACATTTCAAACGTATCATAAATTCATCATTTTGTTGAAACTATAAAAAACTTGCCATGCAGTGAAGAATCCACTTCAAATCATAAATAATAATGTAAACATAATTTTGACAGTTTCAGTAGACCTTTGAATACAATTTTAATATTAACAGCTGGTTCATTAAAAATAGTGTAAAATCATCCATATGGTCGAAATGTAAACAAAATTGCAGAGTGAACTTTAAAGGCCTCTGGGGCAGAGCCCCAAGGAAATTTACATCGTTTCGCTTTTGAGGGCTCACCTACAAACCAATACCTTTCATTAGACACCCCTACCAAGTTTCTACGCCCAGCCGTTCTCTCAAATTAGCTGTGACAAAAACCTCGTTTTCCTCCATAAGAATAACATGGGATGAGAATTTAAAGGCCACTGGGGCAGAGCCCCGAAGGAATTATCCATGTTTCTCTTTTGATGGCTCATCTACAGACCAGGACCTTTCTTTAGACACCTCTACCGAGTTTCTACGCCCAGCCGTTCTCTCAAAATAGCTGTCACAAAGAAAAACAGTTTCAAATTAATATATAGATTACTTGGGGGCCCAATCGGTCAACAAACAATAAAGAGTGTTAACTGAATTCTAACCACACAAGACATAATTTACCTGTTATCGCTGATGTCCAGTTCAAACAATTTTGTGAGATGAGGGAAGGTTGCGGGAGAGAACTCATGTACTGCGTTGTGTGAAAGATTGATATGCTCAAGGGCAGGGACGGCGAGGAATGCTGCAGCGTCAACTGTTACCAAGGCATTACCACTGACATCCAGCCGGCGCAGGGAGGGAATACTTGCTAACATGCGGCGATCCAGGCGGTGGAACTCATTGTATGATATGTCCAAACCCTGCGAGTTAACAAAACTTAGTCAGACAAAATGTCCATGGTGAAACTCTCCCGATGGGGTTGATTGAACAGCAATGTCCAATTAAGTAGTAAAGTGATTAAACAGCTTGTCTAATTTTATGAAGCTTACAATACTAGCTGCAGCAATATACTCTAGGAGTATTTGAAGTTTCCTTATAGTTAAAAGCTGGGCTATATACGCTCCAAACTCTTTTAATTTAAAAATAAAAATCCAACTCTAGTTCAACAATAAGTATTTCATTAACATTATACCTTCAATGCTGGAAGGTTCCAGAGAGGCATCTCCAAGTAGTTTGAGAGCGAGTTGTTAGAGAGCCGGAGTTCCCTGAGGGCCGGCATACCAAAGAACGCTTCCCGTACAACTCTACGGAGTTTATTGTGGTCCAGGTGTAGTCTCTCCAGGTACCCGTGACCTCGCAGGGCTCCGTAAGTAATGTCTTGCAACCGATTGTTGGTCATGTCAAGAAACCTTAGATGAGGAAGAGCTTCTAATATAATCCTTAGCTGCAATATGTCATCAAGTTCATTGTTAACTATACTAAACTCTTCTAGCCCGCTATCATATGGTTGCAGGAAGAATTCAGGATGAATTTTCCTAATCCTGTTATCATTCAGATCCAAAATTCTAAGCGCAGGAAGTCGGTGGAACGCGCCTCTATGAATTTCCGAGATGAAGTTTCTTGCTAAATGAATCTCTCTGAGAGGGGGTATATCTACAAAGGTCGTTTCCGCTAGTTTATCTATAAGGTTTTCATCAAGTCTGAGCACAGATAGGAATGGGAGTTCTCGAATAGATCGACCAACTACACCGGCATCCATGATTTTGTTTCCCACCAATGATAACTCGACAAGAGATGGTAGACGGGTGAGGGCTCGTGGATGAATCCATCCTAGACCAGTTTGAGTGATGTTGAGAAGCATCAGCTTAGGCAGATCATCTAATGTAGATTGCTCTAGTCGGGAGAATAGAGGTGAGGACTCAATGTGCACTTGCTCTAGCGAAGGTAGGCGATGGATCCTAGTAGACCTCAGGTCTGCCAGCATGGGAAGTCTAGTGTGGAGATACTTAAGTCTTGACAACTTGGATAACCTGGAAATCAAACAGAGATTGAGTAATGGTAATATAGTTATAGTTTAAAATCAAATTACTGTTTTGACAGCTGAATTTAATTCTTGTTTAGGGATGTTTTCCTAATTCTCTTTTTTCTGTATTTGCAAAACTTAGTTGTACTACAATTTATAATTTGTACACTTAAAATATTATTAAATTTTCAAAAATTGACAAGGAGATTAATCTTGCCCAATATTTTTACAAGTAAACAGACCTGAAATGGTTGTATCTGAATGCATACATTCAGTCTATTTTTCTCACATCAAATTGAGATTTAAATTTTTGTACAGTGTGCTACATGTATTAATCTCATAAAATTGGTTGTTCCCTTCTTTTACGTATCATTAATTAATACCTAGGTAACCTGACGAGTGCTCCAGCATGGATTGTAAGAGCCTCAATCTTATCTAGGTTGTCTAGACTATCGTCAGGTAAACTACGTAGCTCAGGCTCAACAATGAAGACTTCAAGCAATGAACCCTCCAGCCCAGCGAGCCAGTTGGCTGAAACTCGCTGTAATCCGTTGTCTCTCAACATGAGTCTAACCTAGAGATGGTAAGAAATGTTAGTAACATGGAGAAACATTGATGAACAAGGAACACCCTTTAAACCAGCCAATTTAATCTTTTGAAATCTTTTGATATATAGCCCACAATATTGAGCCTAGCAAATTATACCTCATAGATAAATTTCATCCCTTTACAATATTTAATTTACAATTTTATCCTTTTTTTTATCCAATACCTGTACATCATAGGCCTACTACATAAATATTAAAGCTAAAAGTCTTATGTTATACACAGTCCATTGACTATTGAAAGAGCTAAACATCCCATTTCCCCCTCTACCTACCCCCCAGTAAATACCCCCAGTGGGGGAATAGCCCAGTTTTACAGTGAAAATGTATGTAAGTTACTTGATTGATTTACACTGTCACAGGGCGCTGATGTCAGTTACTGACCAACACAAACTGAAAGATGCAAATAGCGTCTTTTATGACACTTAAAATTAGCATATTAGTAGTATTAGTACCAAAAGCTAAAAAATAATTCATATTTTGACAACGTGTACTTTGAGAGTGGCTCAAACCACACCTTCAGCTAATCCATAGGCTAGATAGATATCTACATCAGCATCTAGTCAGTTGTGATACACAACACAATAAAATCAGTGCAAAAACAACAATATTTTGATTGATTTCAAACTCTACACTATATTTAATTGTTATCCATGACACATACCACATTGAGACCAGCGAAGGCCCGGCCAGGCAATGAAGGCAGGATGTTGTTCTCCAGTATCAGCTCATCTACAGGTCGCTTCATCTCGTTGGCCACAGCCTGTAGACCTGCCAATACTCTGGACACTTCACTGTGACTGCACCTGTCAATATTTGTGTCACTAGTTAGAACTATCCATGAATCTTAACATGTACTGGTATAGCTAAGAAAATTTTGTTTAGGGATTAAAATATTGTTGTATCTGAACATGTTGAAAGAGTTTAGAATCGTCCTCAATCCACATCATTGTTATTTTTTTACAGCATATGCAGTGCTTTCGCTTGATTACAATACTGGTACCTGGGGTATTAGTCTAATATCAGATATACGCAGGACTTGATTCCTTGAATTTGAGGTACTAGAAGAGAAATTTGAATTACATTAATTTTCAACCCTCGTTATAGACGAATTAATTTTGTGCCTAGCATAACAAAAAGCAGTTACTAAAACAATATTAGTATTTTTCTTACAAACGTCTCCTTAAAATACGAGAATGTAAATTGGCCAACATTTGTTCTCTTGGGTGAGAAGTCCTGGAACACCATAAGTTATTACTGTTTCCCCCTAATTACTGGATACAATTATTTAGGCTATCTTCATGTTCATTCAGCGGATTCTCCGAATGTGTTTATCTCGCCCAGACTCACCAGATCTGCAGCTCAGTTCCATGGCTGGCGCACTGGCAAGGCAGGATCGTGTCAGGGTTTGGAGGACAGCTGATGACAAGCTCAAGTAAGACCAGAACCCAGCAGAGGAGTTGAACCATCCCCATCTCGCGACATCCCCTTACACTTTCTGAAACAGTGACAACACATCATACTACTCTGTTTGAATACCATGTAATCTGCATGTCAAATACTCAACTTAGATATTCATTTTTGATAGGTAGGTTTGTAAGAGGTGTGCAGATGTTCGAGCCTGAGATTTACTATTGAGCTGAGCTAGAGTCATGCGTTTGTACGTGACGAGCTGTTGGCCCGTCCTATGTATGGGAACCGAGTAGTCTATTAAAACGGAAAAATTCAAAACAGTTTACATGAATAAAGAAAAACAATGACAGTTTTAATAGGGAATCCATCTTGTGAACAAAACTGTTATAAGCCTAAAATATAGTGATATGCATTTTAAATCTGATAATTTCTCAATAAAACAGCGGCTGTGTCGATATGAAAAGCCTGGAAGTGAGATTGGCAACCGATTCACACACACATTGGTTTTGAGTACGGTAGCTACATGCCACCTCCCATTGCATACTCTCACTTACCACACCATTTTTACCTCCATGACCACTGAAACCTTAAGAGGATTCTGGTCTCCCATTCTCTTCCATCCCCTGGTGCTGCCTCTTCTAATGTAGATCCCAGTCTGGTGACATCTTTCATTACTTGGTCTTTTCACTTAATTCTTGGCCTTCCAAGTGGTCCTCTGCTCTGTGGTACTCCTTGGAATTTAAATAAACTTTTAAAAGTTGATTTATCTTCTCTCCATTACGCATAGCCTACCCATCCGAGTCTTTTACTTTTGGAAAGCACTCCTATATCTCAAGTGTTTATATTTTTCTCTTAGCTATCTCTGTTATTTTTATTTCAAATCCGTTATCTTAAACTGGTCCGTATATATTCTCTCTGCACTATTCCAAAACCCATCGATACAAGTTTTCGGTTCTTTGGACAGTGCCCAAATTCCTACATCACACTGCTACTAGTTACGGTATCGTATAGTGAACCGACTTTGGTTTCTACGTGTGGTTTCTACTGACACGCTGCAGCCTATTACAATTATTGTTTATTTATTGGACAGTTTTCTAGAGACCTACAACACCGATGACATTTTCATTTTTAACCAAAATTTGTGTATGCCGACAACCAACATACACAAATTCGAACACACTGAAAAAGAAATATCAACACATATACAATTATATTAAACGATTAAGCATAGTCTGCTGAAATAGTAGTTTACGCAACGATTGCGTTAAGTTAGTCTTTACGACACGAGTCGAAAATTTAAGGCACGAGCCTTGGCGAGTGCCTTAAAAACTTGAGTGTCGTAAAGACTATTAACGCGAGTTGCGTACACTACTTTACCTACGACGGTTTTTAATTACTAAAAATCTGGTTTTTTATTACTAACAATCACTACTCATAACTTCCTAGAGAGGTTATGTTTTCGTTTATTGTCATTGTCACTGAAAGTGATGCAACACTTATTGTATAATCAGCTGATTTTATGTAATTACGTGTTTGTAAAACTTTGTTAAATAATACGTTACTTTTTCAGGCAATAGGTTCTGCTAGCAGCATTCTTACCATAAATACTGTATCAGGTACAATTAGGGAAATATTGCATATATTTTTGGACAACTGAATAATATAGTGAAACTTTACAGTTAGATCTCAGCATCGAATATGTGGTCCACAACGAGTTGGGTGAAAAAGTGGTTAAGAGGTTTTCAAAATAAACCAGAAGAACATTTTCATTTATCAATTTAACCTTATTTTGTTTCGTCCATTTAATGAATTGCTGGTATGTAATTGCATATGGTACCTTTGTTTTGATTTTGGTGGCAAAAGATTAGCACAAACAGTTTGCGCTCTCATTTCTATCTCGTCAACATCACTTTCACTAACTGAAACTGATATTTTAAAATCAACCTTCATTTAACTTCCACCAACTTAGGTTAAGAATACGCGAGTATCAACAGGAACAAGCCGGATCAACAATTAAAATTGTTAACTGATCAGCTGATCATTAGTTGTAGTTGACGTTCGAAGTATTACAATTGTACTTCTTTTCTCTCAATCCTTGAACCTCATTGGTCCGTTACCCGTGTTGATATGAGAAAAACTATGCTGATATGAAATGAAACTATGCTGATATGAAAGTAAACAGCTGTTAAGTGAAACTTTTCAATTCTAAGAACTGGACTGAAATGGCTACTTTAAAAAACGGTCGTAGGTAAAGAATATTTACCAAACATATAAGTTAACTCAAAATTTAAATGGCATTAACCTGCTTATACTTACACCGATTGCATTATGCAAGTGTTTGTATATGTTTCAAAATTACACATTTCCTGATAACGAGATCATTCACGGTAGGAAACAAACTACATTTTAAAGTGAAACAGTACCTATGTATCACCCACTTATCACGTATGTATCACTGGTATCACGAATGTATGTATGTAGGCAAATACAATACTCAATACTGGCGATCAATATTTTTGTAAACAACTAACCTATAACATAAACATGTCATTGACAGCTGTTATAACCAGCTGTTAGTTAAAAAAGTTTAACCAGCACCGAATATTCTGAAACAACAATGTCGGCTGCTAGACTGTTTTAAAATTAAAACTTAATTTCTAAAAAACTGAAACTAAACCCTAAACTAAAATTTGCTTCGACATTCCGACATTCCTAAGTTCTTCACACATTTTTTTTTTTCAACACACAAAACTCAAGTCTGTCAAATGGTTGATTTAGAATTGTTGAATAAAAACCCCTGTTATCAATTTATAAACTTACTAAGTAACCAAAAGTATGCATTGGTATAAAAGTTACCTATGTGAATGAAATATATATTTTACAATAAGTCAAAATAGTTAAAGTACAATAAGTTCAAATACGTGGGATCGGTCTATGAGAAATTCTTTATTTTAAGAATAGGATCGAGATTCGAGAGACGCTGTAGGAAGACAAGACGACCATCCATGCTCCATCTCCCGCCATCGCGTCATCCTGTCCCGTGACATCTAGTTGTGGGTGGCGGGGACATCATTGTTTGAACCATTGGTGGAACAAAAACAATGAAAACGTGGCTAAAATGCACAGTTTCTATTCAAAATTAGGTACTTAATTCGTCTAAGTTGAGAAAAATACGTTTCTTGAACCGAACCAATCAGGAATCATGTTATATATACCCAATTAAAAGGTGAGAACCGTACAAAATTTGATAATGAGAAAGTTCGAGTCAGTTATATCTGACACCGTCTACATTTAATTTTAGGTTAAACTGACTAAAACCATTGTCCAAAGGTATACCTACTTACACACGTTATATGCCTACATGTTTAGTTATATTTGCTTGCAGAGTATAATTTAAATCAAGGACTTTATTTGCAATCTGATAACAAAACAGTACCAATAATAGTACATGTAGGGTGACAATTAAGTCTGGAACCTCTTTTAAACTACAATAGAAAAAATACCAACGCTCACACATGCTTACTGGTGGTAGTAACGCACACATCTGCCCGTATATATATAAAAGTGCCTTAACAATAGGCATTGCCAAATTTAATTGTTCACAAATTCACGAAGTGTGGATATAGGCATGCACTGTGGATGCGATACTCCCTGTTGTGGATTAACGACCGCACTAGTGAGTACTACGTACTATCCTGATAATTGGACCAATTCGTAAATACCAAGGCAAAAATGTGGTTCGGATTCCACAATAAACTCTAGGTCCCTTAGTTGTCATTGCTGTACGGGCTATTAATTAACATGTCGGCCTTGCTCACTAAAAGACCACAAGATCGCGCCGCTCATCCTACACTCATCTCCATTCATACTTGGATTAAAATACCTATTTTGTATGGACGCCATTTCATAGAAAAGTATTAATTTTTTAAGTTAAGTATTAAAATGCACTTGACAAACCACAGCAAAAGCGACTCCAGAGTAAGCTGAACAGTAATTTTCATTTTAACCAAATTACAGGTAACCGTAGGCCTGTATACCGCAAGGTAGATTACCGTACCCTATACAGTACTTCATATTCATGTAGCGGGAGATTGATACTGGTAGACGCTTGGCCGTCGTCATGGTTCGAGCGTTCGGTCGCGGTCGCAATGCTCCACTTATTTAATAAATTAACGATATCATATTTCATAACTTGGACATTACTGAATCACACCATGGATCCAGACATTGACAAACGCAAAATGACTACAGGACTGTATTGTGTTTATCACCAACAAACCCTTTGACCTAAGCACGGACCATTTTCCACCACATGAACATGAATGAAACCTGAGGCAAACTACGATGCATCAATTCTAATTTGCATTTACTTGAATTTTAAACAAGATTTTTGAACATTTAGACCTCATTGCAGTCTTAGAGACTTTTAATGGTTGTCCATTTCGTCTATTCTTTAATAGAATCCACTAAGCTTATCGAATTTAAATTCTTCAGCTATAGAGTTGTTAAATATAGTGAAATGCATTTTAATTGTCCAACGTGTCCAACACAAACGATCACTTCTATTTTATCCATCGTTTAGGTTTTACGATTACTTGGTGTTGTTTCAGAATAAATAATCTACAAAACCTGAACATATCATATTGGCAAGGAGTGCCGATCTCATAAAGATGTTGGCTTCTTCTGGCTTAATTCCTTGCAAAAGGCATTAGATTAAGTTGTGGTCTTGTTTTTAACTGCCAATCGATGAACATCTGCTCAAAGAATCTCGGATAAACACTTTTAATTGCGGATAAATAATTGCTCGGTTAATTGCCGTATCGAAAGAAATGATGTTTTAAAGAGATTTACAATTTCGTTTTGTACTCCGACTTAAAAAGGTGTGCAAGACAAACTCGCAAACTCGATACTTCCAGCGCAATGGAAAATCCATTGAAAAATATTGTTGTTAACTGTGACGTGCCTAAAGTGACTGGACTGTGACGTGTCATTAACTGGTGTGTATGAAGGATGATAAATAAAAAACGGAGTCTGTTTAGTTATGGTACATCTTACAAGTATTCCAGTACACTCTCAGTCGATGAGTCATCTCGACATCACGTGTTCACGCTTCCAACCCAGGTGTTTCTCGATCAGCTGACTTGTACAATCTGATCGCTAATCAGCTGATTCTGATGAGTAGTTGTGTAAAACGTCGCCGGATGCGCAAGAACCGCCGCCGGATCCCCAGCACTTTCTCGGGCCTTGGAGGGTTTCCTCCGCGCCCTGCCGCTCAATTTCACACCTGTTGTCCCATGAAAATCCCATCCTATGCACCTCTCGCAAGTCATCATTTCGTCATGTTTTTCGGGGTAATATAGGTCACAAACTGATGAAATGATTCTTAAGATTGATTCTAACGCACTACTAAAATTACAATATTAATAGTTTCGTATCAAGTACAATGAGAATAAATCGTATGAAAAAGATTTAAGAATGCTGAAAAACGGTAATTCTTATTAAGAACATGGTTTGTTAACTTAGAAGAAAAATCGTGGTTCTTGGATTTAAGAGAAACTGGTCCATTCCTAAGGTTAAATAAATTACGTTGTCATACAATTAATGTATTAACGATTTTCAACTTGCTAGTTCAACCTTTAACGTAGTAGAAAGTAAATACGGTACACAACAATATTTGATGAGGAAACATCTCTGCAGAACCGAGATAAAACTGCAAACACATGTCACCATGTCCTTGAATTGACTTTGAAGGTGATCTTAGGGAACTCAGCTCAAATACCACCGCAATTACGATATAGGCTACTTAAAGCTACACAGACGGATACACCGCTGTCGTGGCTTGAACCAGCTGTCGAACTCGGCTGAGTATACTTTGTCACTTTTATTTTTTTAAGACTTCAATCTACTTTGGCAAAAGTAATATGTGAGCCGAACATTATACATGATTCTTTTTTTGTTGAAGTTTTTGTGCTCACAACGTGCAAGTGAGTAAAGAGGGGAAGCTTTGAAAACGCCGCACGTTGACATTGGTGTATCGAAACATCGGAAATATTCAACTTTAGCCTATTATTTCATTTTTAATATGTGTGTAGGTGAATTATTCTACGTGTGGTGGCAAGGACTGCGTTCTTCTTTAACCAAGGTAGGGGACGCCCAAAAATATTATACAACCACATAGTTCAAGTCAGTGTAACAAAGATCACCCAAAGAGTCGAACTAACCAGCCAACTTATGAAGGAAATGTTTTTGTAGCCTCCAACAGCAACCTTTACATTATTATATGTTTATTTCTCTGAGAAAATTTTAATTAAGTAGTGCTCGAAATATTGGTGCAAAATATATCCTTGATAGGTCAAAGATTGAGTATTAAAGTCGATGATTTATTAAGTAAAAGTTAGTGTAGTACGATAATGTTTAACAAGTTAGTAAACAGACCAAATCTCGCTGTGTACTACAAAGAACAAAAAATATGCTATTATATGCAAAATATGGTATATTTGAAAGTAAAATGCACTTTATTTCCTATAGCGGAGTTCTCTTTGCAGTTCTCAGTTGCATCTAGTAACATTGCTTCTATTCAAACTCACTCAGCGTTTAGTAGATTAATGGCACATTTCACCACTAACAGATTGGAGAAACAACTGCAGTAGAATCTAGGACTAGCAGTGCCGGTAGTTGCGGGGTAATTTACTACTATTAGGGTAAGTTTTAGGGTAGTGGTACTGGTAAACTAAGGGTAGCTTTACCGTATCCACAAGTTTTGGCATCAAGTCAAATGTTACTAAGAAACATAAAATATCCCCGCAGCAGCAAACCTGCAGACTAGGCGAATTTCCATTTGCCTGTTTGGGGTTTTACTCTCCTTGCAAATGTCATATTTAATTCCCTATTTAAATAACATTTTAATTTAACGATTACTTAGGTTTTTTGCTACAGGAATGGTAATAGGTTTTTATAGTCAAAGGCTAATAGTATGGTATGAAATGAATAAATTTTCCAAGTTTGATCAAAATAGGTTCATAAAAATGTTAACTATAACAGTTTACTTTTTCTCCATAAGAATAAGATGGGAAATTAAATTTTACAATTTGATTCCTATCAAACGACAAATGATTAAAGGATCTACGATTTTAAGGATCCAGCGCTACATAAACATGTTATTACCAGTTTCCCTAAAATCGGCCATTGTTTGTAGACCAAGCAATAAATAAACTGATCTATATGGTTGAGAGGTGTTTTATTAACGTTAATTTTTTTAACTTTTTCTATGGTATAGTATTATCTATGATTGATCGATTTTAACGCAATCTGTATTTATATTACAACACTTTGACTTAAGGATACGTATTAATACAAAAAAGCTAATCGTTGAATGAATGTGAATTGTTGTCAAATGCAGACCGAATGAAACATTAACGCGTGTAATTATACATACACAATGTTACTCCCGCCGCTAGGTTAACGGAGCCAAGTCGCGTGGTTCCGTAGTCTAAAACTCTTGCTTTCTAAACCCCGCCTCATCCCTTCTCTTCCAAACACACCACTAATTCCAACAGATGGACACGGAAGGAAAAAAGACTATTATGAATTTCAGAAATATTCATCAGCTGTAATAGCCTTCACTTTTAGCTTGTTGGACGGATTCGAAGCCACGTACTTATCTAAAATGGAGAGTTGGGAACCACTGTTGTGCATGTCGTTGTATGTCGTGCATAGTGAAATTGAAATCAAGTACAATTTTTGGTTTTACTGCAAGGAGAGGATTTATCTTTCTACATTTCCTGTAAACACCGATTTCGACCACGTTCGGTTTACAATCGAGAGATTCTTTATGGGTACTGTAAAAAGTTTCAAAACCTCATTTTATCGTACAAGCGTAGAACTTTGCCACTGTTCTAAATGAGACGCTAATAAAACATTTCTGTGGAGGACCTTTATAAGAATCCCTAAATCAAAGTTTAAACCTTTGAACTAACTGGAACCTTCCACCTTTAGCTTAGGTGTATTCTTCTGTGTGTTCTTGATTCTTGATTCTTGTGGTGCCACGAATTTAAGTAAACGTAACCGCGAATAAGAAATCCTTTGAATGACACATTTCAGTTAGGCCGGTATTACACTATCATAGTTCTATGACATATATCTATTATCATATGTCTTTGATGAAAATTATTACAGTGTAATGTACCAACTATTATAATGGTTTTGAACTATGATCAAATGTTCTCCTTGAGAGAACATATTATCATATATTTGATAATATAATATGTCATAGACCTATGATAGTGTAATACCGGCCTTACACATGTTTCTGCACATGTTTCTGTATACTGATGAGAGATTAATTAAGGGTGCTCTGACACATGAGAATCTTCCATTGTACCCTATATGTGACACGTACTCCACGCTTCATCTATCTATACCCTTTAAACACATTTATAGCTAGTGAACTACATAAAAATTATACTAAAAGGCTATACCTTCATTCTTCATACATCATAAAATCTCCCACGAATATAAGTAAGTGCAAATAAATAACCCAAACAAACAAACAACAAAACTATGTAATCCGGTTTATTGTTTATTAAGTCATTCTTAGTACAATATTTCGTGCAATCTGTCTCTTACTGCATCACCACGATCTATAACTTGAAGAAAAAGATACAGCAAAGTTTCAAAGTAAGCCTTTGCAATGCTCAGTACCAATGTTCAAAATACTCAAACAATCTTATCGCAGCTATCAGAGTTTAACCGGTAACCAACAGAACATTTCCTAAAGTCATCTCCGCAGTTTCCCCGATGAGAGACAATGGTGGTGACGGACGGCCAGAAATATTTGGTACGCTCGGTTATTTTGTAATTGCCACACTCGGATGGGTCAAAGACAATAGTGGCGCTGCGTAATTCATCATCAACATGTGGGGAAAGTCAACAGCACTTTCTATGGGCAAGGCGTGACGTAGCCATGGTCCACGGTGAAGTGCCTTGGTATTGTTTGGGGACGGGAAACTGCCATCGCATATCTGGTGACAACGACAAGGTGACAAGAATCACGCCCCGTCCGTTAATTTGGCTGATGAAGGCTGGCATGACAACCTTGAGGAGAGAAATTTGAAGATGAAGGA